TTCCCTAAGAACTTCACGTTGATGAACACTTGATCCTTACAGCAAGTGCAGGTGCTTAGGGGCTTGTGGCCCCATTTTACAGCTGGGGGCACAGAAAGGTTCAATAAGTTGCCCAAGGTCATCCGGTCAGGAATTACAGGAGCTGAGATGCACACCCAGGCAGTGTGGGTTCAAGAGTCTGCACCTGCGTCGCTGCCACGGGGGAGCCGTGACATCCACAAAATCAAACATTCTATCAGCCAGATCAGCTTCCTCCGAAGGATTCCCACACCCTGAAGATTACCATTGTCCCCTTGCCCAGGAGTTTCCGGGAGCTGTGACCTGCAGTCTCCCGTGAGGACCCAGGGCCTTGCTATCGGCTGCCAGACCTGCCTTAGATCCCCCACCTGTGTTGGCCTGGACTTGACGTAGGTCCCCTCCTCGTCTCCTGGACACTTGGCTGTATTATGACTCCACTCCGACTTTAACTGAGTAACTCCTGACTCAGACCACCCTCCCTGCCTCCTCTGGACACTGTCCCAGATATTGCCTAGGCCAGTGATGGCGAACCTTTTGAGCTCGGCGTGTCAGCATTTTGAAAAACCCTAACTTAACTCTGGTGCCGTGTCACATATAGAAATTTTTTGATATTTGCAACCATAGTAAAACAAACACTTATATTTTTGATATTTATTTTATATATTTAAATGCCATTTAACAAAGAAAAATCAACCAAAAAAATGAGTTCGCGTGTCACCTCTGACACGCGTGTCATAGGTTCGCCATCACTGGCCTAGGCCATGGATCCCCACATCGCCCGCAAAGATGACACCTGAAAGGGGGGGGGGAAGGTCTCTTGGCCTGTCCAGGCTGCTCTTGCTCAGGCCTAATCTGCTCCCTGCCTCATCCACATTTTCACGGGGTGTCTACGCGTCCTAGGCTCTGTGCTCGGAACAGAGGAGAGGAAAGTGGACAGAAGGCAGCCCCACCCTTCAGACAAGTCAGATCAGAGCACGGAGCCCCTCAAGCCCTTTCCTCCTGGATCTGAGCGCATGGCCTCCCTCCCTCTGAAAACATTTCTCTTCTGGAATCCCAACCTCTCCTCTTCCGAACTCTTGAAGCTTTCTTCAAAAAAAAAAAAAGTGTTCTTTTTAAAAATTGATTTCAGAGAGGAAGGGAGAGGGAGAGAGAGAGAAACATTAATGATGAGAGAGAATCATTGATCAGCTGCCTCCTGCATGCCCCACATTGAGGATCGAGCCCGCAACCCGGGCATGTGCCCTGACCAGGAATCGAACCGTGACCTCCCGGTTCATAGGTCGACACTCAACCACGGAGCCACACCAGCCGGGCTCAAGGCTCTCTTTAATTCCAGATGTGCACTGCACTGCAGTCTCTGAGTGCTGTTTTATGTTCTGAGAAGGGCATCAAGGCGCCAAGCACTCTGCCAGCGCCGGTCTGAGGCGAGCTCAGAAGCATCGCGTCGGCGGCCGTGGGAAGAAGGTATGCCGCGGGACGCGGCCTTCCGAGGAGGGAACACAGGGCTCTGCACCCGAGGCAGAGATGTGTGCTTCCCTCTCTGAACGTGTAGCAGGAAATGAGGCAGCTCACCTTAGAGAACTGTTTGCATACCGCCCATGCCTGAGCCAGATGGTGCCTGTTTGTTCCAAGAAATTAAAAATGAAAAAGGAAGAACATAAGGTGGAGTTTATCTCTACCTCTCCCCTGCCCTCCTATACACAGTGTGGGATCTGCCCTGGGCAGGTGAGTACAGATAACACAGACACACATGTGCCCGCACACACACACACACACACACACACACACACACACACACACACACACACACACACACACACACACACACACACACACACACACACACGCCTGAATTCTCAGCATTTAGCTGTATTTGTCACCAGAAACCAGCAAGTTCCTAGGCCCGACAGACTCCAGACCCTATGGTAGCAGAGAGAAGCAGGCCGGTCCTGGGTCTGCTTGCAGAGAGCCCTCAGCGTCTGGCCCTCTCATCTAACAAATCACTGCTCTCCCAGGGCATCGGCTGGGACATGGAGCAAACACATCTTTCCTAAGTCGCCGGGCATGGATGTAGCTCGGAGATCCATGACAGGACCCTGTAAACACTGACCAGCACAGGCCAGCGCGACACCCCAGTGTTTCTGTCTAAGATGAAACCCTGGGAAGGAACTTTTCCGGAGGTGGTCACCTTCAAGGCCCTACTCCTTTGGGGCAGTTGTGTGACCCGTTTATTTCCCAGCGTCCAGAGATTCCTCTCTCTGACTCAGGAATGACCTCTGGAAATGAGACTGTCCCTGGGGTTCTCCTGTCTGGGTGTGCAGGGGACTAAGGAATATAATATACGTAATAATTTATCCAGGAAGGAGTGTGTTCCAGGCTCCTAGTGCTAATGAACTTGCTTAACATCGAAACAACTCTGTTGAGAGGCTATGTCTGTCCTTGTTTGTAAAATGGGAAAATTAAACAGGTGAGGAAAGGGCACGAGGTCCCATGTAAGCACAGGTCAAATCAGGCTCAGATGCAGAATGCCCGTCTCCCTGATGCCTTCCAATAGGATAACAGGACTTCTGGGTGCATTACTGACGTGACCGCTGGCCAATGGCTTCCTTACTCTTTTCCCTGAGGGGGAGGGGCTATGCATACATTAGCACCTTGTGAGCACCTGAACATGAAGTTGGGATACAAGTTGCTCTTTGAATGTGGACAGTCTAGTGCCTGCCCTCCATTAGTGGACTGTGCAGCTTTCCAGGGGCGCCCCGAGTTCTTACTGCAACAGCTACCCGTTCCGACTTCATACTTCCTGGGGACCGAAGGCGCATTTTCAAGCCAGCTGGCCTCAGCTGACACCTGGCGTGGCCTGCATGACAAAGGCACTGTGGATGCCTGGCACGTGGACAGTCCCCCTCCGCCCCCCGGCTCCCCGTTCCTTAATTCCAGTCTGCCCTGGTGCCCACGGAAATGAGACGGATTTACTCCTTGGCGCTCTCCCAGGAGGAGAGAGCAGCAGTGCGCAGTTGTTAAAGCAAGGGCGCAGCGGTATCACTTGAAGATGTGATTTTTTCCCCCCTCTTTGAAATCGGAATCGAGAAAAACTAAGTGCACTCCTGGAGGCAAGTCTGCAAGCCGAGTCTGCACACGTCCTGGTCAGATGCTGTTTCCCAAGACCCCGGTGAAGCCGGCAGAGACCAGACCGGCATAATCAAACCTCTTCCTCGCACAGAAAAACAACGAGCCGCCCCTTGCTTTTATCAATGCCAACACAGCCGAGCGCAGCCAGACAGGCCAGCAAACCCCATTACGCGGAGTGCAAAGGCAATTAAATGGTGCCAGCTCCAGCGAGACCCGAGAAATCTGTGACCCACGGGCCCGGGGGAACCACACCGGTGCCTCTCTTCAAAATGACTGGAAAACACGGGCCTAGAAGCTAAAGGAAAGCTCTGCTGGGTTATCTCCCGGCAGGCCCGCCCTGGCATCCGTCTGTGGCGACCGCTGCTCCTGCTCCTTTTTCTGTGTCTGGGGGGGGTGGACAGGGCAGGTGGCTCGAGAAACCGACCAGTTTGCTGCCGACACACACCCTCCCCCCACTGTCTGTCTACTTCTGCTTCACATCCTCTCCTGATGCTCTGTCATCTGCCAGCCTCTGTCTGTACCAGGAACAAATTACTTTCTAACCACAAAGAGCGTTTCTCAACCATCCTGTTTTTCTCTAGGCCCGGGCTAACATGACATGTCTTGAGTGACTGGTTTTATCGTCCTGCTTAGACAAAGCCATCAGGAGGAACATTCGGACAGAACTGCTCTGCAGACGCCAAACCCCCAGCCTCTTGCAACACGCTCGAGCCGACGGGACAACCCTGGGCTCTTTACTCTCAATGTGGTCATTCGCTCCTGACAAAGATGAGACAAATGGCCACCATGCCACGGAGACACTGCCCCACCCTCTCCCTGTACCACACATCCCCAGTCCTCGCCCCTTCAATGTCCCGTGAAGTAAATTTTCCATATTTTCGAGGCAACCGACTTGCCATCAGTTTGCAGAAGTTATTCCATCTCTGTATCTCAGGTTGCACCTATACTCCCTCCCCCCTTCTCCCCTCCCACCATTACTTTTTGAGTTAAATGACACTCATGCCCACTTTCCCTGGCAATAATAACACTGTCAGAACCACTCAATGATCCATGGGGAGATAATTCACGAAGACCAAAGGGAAAAAGTCTGGAGCAAAATAAGACACCTGATAATGTAGACAACCGCATGATGTGCAATTGAACGTGATGTCCCCTCCCCCAATCAGAGAGCTTTTCCTAACCGGCACCCCCTCCAGCGCTGGCAGTGGTAACGCGCTTCCCCCCCTCATCTTTCCTACGCCGCGTGGAGAACTATGCTCAGCACGACATTAACCATTTTGCTCCTTTACGGTGGGTTCTGGCTTCTTGTCAAGAACTGCCTTTGAAAACGAGCTGCAGAGTCAGCAGGTAATTTCAGAGAAGCCAATGTGCTGTGGGCGGGCTGGATCGGGGCCTGACTTGGAGGTGCTGAAAGGTAGCACCCAGTCGGGTTTGTCTGTGTGTGCACTTGCGGATATACATGCAAATATATATAT